GCTTACAGCCATTGGTTGAGAGTGAGAGAGTGAAAGAGAATGAGCCAGAGAGCCATCCCAGGGATGTTAGTTTCAAAGAGGGCAGGGGAAAGCATAAGCAGCTGGGTTTGCTCCTTATGAGCCTCCTTACCCTCCTCAGCTTTGACAGATCTTGGATCTCATCTCATTCCAACAAAGAACTGCTAGTGAATGGAGACATCCTCTGTAAGGAGATGAAAGCTGTTTTCCCTCTTGGCAATTTATGATTGGTTGTATAATACAGCTGGCCGTGTGATTTTGAGGCAGTGTGCTAGTACCTCTCTCTCCACAAATGCAATTCTACATTTTGTGTTTGTTTTTTAAAAATAAGTGTAAAGTCGAGTGAGTGAAGCTCTGATTTCCCCCCATATGCATAATAACAGCAGTGCACCTGTTGGGGTGCCTATGAAGCGCCTTGTACTCGTAGGTATGATACACACACTATCTAACTGAACTTGGACGATCTGCTGCCAGAAACAATTTCAATATATCACTTACAGTGAAACTGCATGTGGCCCTTTCCTTAGCAAACTTACATTCAATTTATTTAGCCTTATCCCAATACACAATGTAAAAAAAACACAATAAAACAATAAAAATCAATAATGGGGCACTTGGGTGGCTCAGTTGAGCATCCAACTTTGGCTCAGGTCCTGATCCCGCGGTTGAGGAGTTCGAGCCCTGTATCGGATTCTGGGCTGACAGCTCAGAGCCTGGAGCCTGCTTCGAATTCTGTGTCTCTGCCCCTCCCCCACTCATGTTCTCTGTTTCAACAATAAATAAACATTAAAAAAATTTTTTTTGAAAAAAAAATTCCAGAAATTTATAGACACTGTTCTGGTCAGAGATACAAAGATTATGGAGTGTTCCATTCTATTCTATGAGTCACTCTTCTTTCTGAATTTTTAAATCTATTTTTTCTATCCTATTTACCAATTAGGTGATTTCCTCTTTTTTCTCTTGCCAGCCTCCCCCAGCAGTGTTTTTACTTTGGCACACAGTAAAAGTGTTGACTGCTTCCCCTGTTCCCAAATCTGAAAGCATAAAAGTTAAGTAAAAATGATTTGGATATTGAAGACTTCTTTTTCTACACTCAAGTATAGGACTTTGCTGCAAGATAATTGATGAGTTACCCATAATCTCCTAAGTGTGCTCTTTACTCATTACCTAAGTAAATTTCATTTACTTAAAACTTTCATTTTGTTAAATATCATAGCAGATTTCAGTTCACCAGATGGGTTGAAGGCCCAGTGAAATTCTTTTTTTATTGCTTAGGTATTACTCCTATGTTCTGTAGTTAGGTAGTCAAGAATTTTAAGCATTTATATGAATGCCATGGTCTAAATTTCTATTTTTTCCCCAAGATTCATTGATTTAATAAATATTTACTGAGGACCCCTGGTGTCAGGCACCCTGTTAGGGGAGTGAGAAAAACAGTCACTGTGTCTGCCCTCATAGAACTTACAGAGCTGACTGGAGGGAATAGACATTGAACAAAAAGAATTACAATCCTGACAAATGCCATTAAGAAGGAAGGGAAGAGTGCTGAGGGACTATGTAAGAGATGTAGTTAATCCAGTGTGATTAGGAGAGGGGGTGGGTAGAGATGATTTTTCCAAAGAAGTTCAAGCTTAGGCTTGAAGCATCAGAAGGGAGAAGAGTGGTCCAAGAGAAAGAAGGGAACAGCTTGTGTAAAGTCTCTGAGGAGAAAAGGCTGTTGCCCACTGAGAGACCAGAGAGAAGGTCAGTGCGGCTAGAGTGGTGACACCAGGAAGTGTCACAGTAGAGGCAGGCAAGGGCCAGACCACATAGGTCATCCTAACCATGGGGGACTTTATTCTGAGGGTAATGGAAAACCAATGGAGAATTTAAGCCACAAAATAAAAAACATTTTATAGCCTAATACAGCGAATACATAGAATATGTAAATATATCAATGTGTAGGAATTTTTATTAATATGGGACAAACTATCTAATTTTCTGACATGTAGAATTTTTCGGAAAATAGCAAAGACCTTATAATAGTTAAGCAGAGCAGAACGATCCTTGGGCGTGTAACCTTAGTATGCTTTGAAGTGACAAACTTACATCCCAAGTTTCTTCACTTTCCATCTATCACGTATCATGAGTTGCAAATAGAGGTGATTAATAAAGACAGCGAGAGGAAGAAGGTGTACATGTGTACATGCACATGTGTGGTCACATGTGGCTTCCCATGGTTTTGAAAAAGAGCAGATTTATGGCAAAGAATATCAGTATCACATTCTCTGTTTTCAAAAATAGTAGTCTGCCCTACAGAAATTAGGGAAGTACAGACTGTAAAATAAAAAAAAGATTTTTTCTTCTTTTACTTGAGTATTTTAGGGAAAAAAATGGCAGCTTCTGGTTAATACAACAGATTTTGACATGAAATACATTGATTTCAAACTAGGGACACCAAGATGATTTCTGAAGGACTGTGCTTGGAGCAGTAAAGAGAGGTCCCTGAACACTATAGCTCTTGGACAGTATAGAGTATGAGAGACTGAAGAGGCTAATGTTTAGTTTTCTTTTTTAATACTCTTCAGTCTTCCCTAGGAGAATTTCTTCTTGTCTTCTCCAGATGGTTGGTGGCCATTAAATTAGCAGATAAGATTTTAAGGTGTGGTTCTTTCCCAGAGGTATTTCTAATTGGGAACTGGGAGAAATTCTTGAAGATTAACAAGGTTTCTCTTAGTCAATATTAGGAGAGCAGAGAAGGAGAACGTGCTCTGACTACCATTCTCTGGTACCTCAATGCCTCCAAAAACCACAGGTTTCTTCTCTAGGATCTTGGACTGCAAATCTTCCCGACTGTTCTTCAGGCTCTGTGACTCCCTGGAAGGAGTGAATGAATAAATAAATACTTGGCAAACTGTTTGAGAAAGGCTGCTAGCCTTTGGTCTACGAGAACTTGAGCAACGAGAGACCTGGGTTGAAATGTCAATTTGTGTCTGACTCACTATTTGAAGAGAATGAATCACTCAGTTCTGTGGTCTGAGGTGTGGTACTAAGGACAGTACAGACTTGCTTCACACACTTTGTGTACTTGACTGCTGTTGATAAGTCATTCTACTCATCAAAATAGAAACACGTTTATTAAGTACCTAATTGTGCACACGATTTGGAAACATGCAGAATATGTAGGCTAAAGATTAAAATAAATTAGTACTTGTTATGGTTACATGGGTCAGGTGAGATGTCTATTATTATAAAAAAGGGAGGAGGCGTGCTGTGTATTAATTATCAGGTTACCAAAGCTCTAGGTAAATGTGGCAGGAATGTTAAGAGTAGCTTCTCAGGAAGTGCTTGCTCTCAGGTTGAAAACTGGACACTGTTTACTTGGGCCAAAATGCAGTTATTTTTTAAAAAATTCTTTTTAGGGGCGCCTGGGTGGCTCAGTTGGTTAAGTGTCCGACTTTGGCTCAGGTCATGATCTCACGGTTTGTGGGTTTGAGCCCCGCATTGGGCTCTGTGCTGACAGCCAGCTCAGAGCCTGGAGCCTGTTTCAGATTCTGTGTCTCCCTCTCTCTCTGACCCTCCCCTGCGCATGCTCTCTCTCTCACTCTCTCTCTCGCTCTCTTTCAGAAATAAAAAAAAACATTAAAAAAATTTTTATGTTTTTCATTTATTTTTGAGAGTCAAAGAGAGACAGCGGGAGCAGGGGAGGGTCAGAGAGAGAGAGAGAGAGGGAGATACAGAATCCGAAGACAGGCTCCAGGCTCTGAGCTGTCAGCACAGAGCCCGACGTGGGGCTCGAACCACAAACTGTGAGATCATGACCTGAGCTGTAGTCGGATGCTTAACCGACTGAGACACCCAGGTGCCACCAAAATGCAGTTATTTTAAGTTATTTTTAGATAAAAAGTTATTTAAAAGTTTCAACCCTCTAGAATCTGACTCACAATGTTCTGATACTGTATTTTTTTTGTGATCAGAATCATGGGTAAAGAAATCTATCTTCCAGCACCGAATGAGAAAAGATTTGGGTGTGTGGTCAGACCTATGAGTATTACAAAGACTAGAGAAGCTACCATTAAAAAAAATGATTTTAGGGGCCCCTGGGTGGCTCAGTTGGTTGAGCGTCTGGCTTTGGCTCAGGTCATGATCTCGCCATTCGTGGGTTCGAGCCCCGTGTCGGGCTCTGTGCTGGCAGCCCGGAGCCTGGAGCCTACTTCGGATTCTGTGTCTCCCTCTCTCTCTGACCCTCCCCTGCTCACGCTGTCTCTCTCTCTCTCTCTCTCTCAAAAATAAATAAAACATTAAAAAAGAAATTTAACAAAAAAAAAGATTTTATGCTGCAGTAGTTCTAAATTATTCCTTTTAGCTTGATATAAAGGAGTAAAAGGGCAAAAAGAAAATTAACATTTATCAAGTCACTTATCCTCAGTCACCTATATCATCAATAAAGTTCACAGGAAGCCTATTTCCATTTTGGTCAGGGAAGAAAAATAAGAAGAAACTGAAGGTTAGAGGCTGAGAGGGAAGAGTTGGAAGGCGCACTCAGGTCTGCTAGCATTTGATCTTTCCACAAAAGTACTTAGGTACAAACTGAAAAACTTAAGAGGATTAAGAGTTTCTCTTTTATTTCTTTTGGTTTAGATGTAATCTATATCTGCAGGGAAAGAAATGAATAAAAGCTATTAGTATAGAAGCTTCTATTCTACAAATCTTTTGATGGGAGGCAGGGGAAAGAGATGAGATTGGAGAATGTACATTAAGCAATATGTAAATTCTGGGCCATAATTTTTCTGAGTTTTATTGATTTTCAGAAGTTATTTTCAAATGGGCATTGGTGTCTTACAACCTACAATGTAATGTAAATGTTATAATTCTATCTAGTTTGTAGGGCATTGTAAAGCTATTGAAGAATGTCACAAAATTCTTAGGAAAGCTGCTATAAAATACAAAGATTATTTATATTTCTGACCCTCATCTGTGTACATGGGATACTCTGTCATTACCTTAATTACTGCATTCACCATATTGCATTCTTATCACTTCTCCATCCTCTGGTATCTCTACCAGAAGATGCGTTTCTCCGAGACAGGGACAATGTCTCTTTCACCATAGTATCCACAGTAACCTGGGCATAGACTGAAATATAATAATGCTCAGTAAATGTTTGTAGAAAAAAAAAACAACCAAAGGATTCATCTTTCTGATCCCAGTTTTCTTATTTCCAAAATGAGAAGACAGTAATATTCTCCTAGATTGCTTATGAGAAGTGTCATGACATATGCTCAAACACTGTTTACTGGAGATAGGAGCCACACACATAAAAGGTGTTAACTGTGCCAATTCGCAATACATTTCGGGAAAGAGATGTAGGGTATTTTAGATAATATGTGGTAGTAATCTCCATCCTTGGGCTCTAGGGTTGAAGGAAATGCAGCACCTATACCAAAGATGAGAACAGTATTTCACTAGGTGGCTCTCTTTTCCGTGAGTGGGTGGCGCGTTGGTGCAGGGAGGGGTCACAGGGGGCATTCATTATACAGCTGCAGTCACCGCCTCCTCGCGGCGCCGCATCACAGTAGGTGCTCACAGGGGGAGGGGCATAGGTTAGTTTCTATTTCGTTAAAGATAATCTATTTTTCGGACTTACCTCAGAGTAACCTGTACTTTCATTTTCTCCAAACGAATACATGATGTTCCATAAAGACATTGGTCTAGTCTTTTAATGGGTGTGGTCTCAAGGATCTTGAAAGTGCCTCCTCACCTAGCATGGAAGACAGCAGGAATCAGTTGCTCAAACCGAGCTAAACCAGAACAGCCCATTAAAATCCTGTTTTAAACTATCTAGTGAGGGCTGCATTCTGGGGGGTGAAGGTGGGGGGTTTTACAGTTGCACTGCCTAAAGTACTTTGAAACAGCGGCGTAAAAGACTCCACGATACGAATCGAAATATAATTTGTAAAATGTCAAGTCCTTCAAGCCATTAGAATGACCATTTCTCCAGCTACTTCTCACACTCCAGGTTATCAATGACCCCATTCTTTATTTCTGGTTTTTAACCCCAAACCTGACACAAAATACACATAATAGACTTTCAGAAAAATTTAACAATGAAAATCCTCTTCCTCGATGCCTTTCCTCGGAACCTCGCACCAGTATCTATGTTCTTCTCTATTTTACCGCGCCAGTATCTAAGTTCTTCTCGATACTTTTACCCAGAGTTTCCCTCTCCTACCCAAAAGATACAGTGACAAGTTCTAAAACAGAGCAGCCCCATCAGAGAAGTCTGCAGAGGGAGGAACTCACAGGACAGCCTTCGATAATTGCGTGGACCCCCACGGGGGAAGGGGTGCCTTCGAGAGGGAGGGCATCTCACCACGTTCCTGGCTCTAAATGCTAGAAAACCACTTGTTACTCTTCTAGGATGTGTTCCCGCTTTCACTCGGGCTTCCCCGCGGCAGGAGGTGGCAGGAGGTGGCTCGGTCGCCGAGGGTGTGTATTGGGTACGCTTTGGGGGATTTCGGAAAGGGGGCGACCCGCCAGGAAAAGTCCTGCCCGGCAGGAGAGGAATCTGGGTCGTCGTGTGCCGTTCTCCTCCCTTAGGGACCCCGTCCTGGCGGGATCCCGCCTCTCAAAGCCGGAGGCAGTCCTGGGGAAACCCCTAGCCCGCCTCGAAGCTTCGCGCCACCGCCTCGCCCTTCTCGTTCCAGCTCGCAGCTCGCCAGCCTTCAGGCCCGGCGTCTGCCTCGCAGGCCCGGCCCTCTCCACGCCCGGCACTGAGAGGAAACCGGAGGTGGTTCCAGCCCGCAGGCGGGTGGAAAAGCCCACGGTGAATGCCTCGGGGGCCCCCTCATTGTAGCGGGAAGGGGAAAGGGAAGAGGAAGTGAACCTCACCGCCCAGTAGATCACCCGGATTCCCAACCTGGGGGAGGCCTATGGACGGAAGGGAAGTCAAGGGGGAACCCTGGGCACTTTCCCGGGAATCCATTCGCCAAGGGAGGGTCACCCAGTCCGCACACATTGGTTACTATGACAATACAACCACAGCCGCCAGTTGCCATGGCAGCTGCTTATCCAATCCGATTGGTTTCTTTTCTCTTCCTCCATGGGCTCCACCCTATCCCCTCCGACAGCCTCCAGGGGTGCAGTGGGAGGGGCAGCAGACAGGGGGAGGGGGTCCTTAGCGTCACCCTCCCGGGCGCGAGGGAAGACTAGAGTTGAGGGACTGGCAGGCGGAACTGTAGGAGGAAAGGGCAGCGTTTCCGGTAGGAAAGAGTGGAGGAGTGGAAAAAGGAAGAGAGAAATCGGGTGGAGTGGAAAGACGGGGGAAGACTTTGAGTGTAACTCCTTGTTGATTTGGGCTCGATGTTCCTGGTGAGGCCGGGGTTGCCCCCTCGCGCGGGAGAGGGGTGGGTTGGCCGGAAGCCGCCAAGCGCCTGCCGCCGGCCGCTCAGCAGCCGCACAGGGCTCTCACGGGTGGCGGATCCCAAGAGGGAGCGCTACAGAGAGGCAGAAGTCACCCGGAGGGACGGGCGCCACTGAAATCTCGCGAGAGGAACCCCCCCCCCACTTCCTTCCTCTGCTTCTTCCTCCTCGTTCCCCCGCCCCCTTCCCTTCTCCCTCCCCTTCCCCCCTCCCGGGTCGGAGTGTCCCTGCGCCCCACGGGCCGGAGCAGCAGCGAGAGCAGCTTTCCCCGCTCCCTCCCCCTCGCCTCACTCACCCCCACCCCCCCGCCGAGCGAGGAGGAGCCGGAGGAGAGGAAGATGGCGGCGGCCGCCTGCACCCGCGGTGCCGCGGGGCCGCTTCGAGGAGCCTGAGAGACCCACAGAGGCTTCGCGGGAAGACGCGGCGGCGGAGGATGAGCCTGCAGAGCGCGCAGTATCTCCGGTGAGTGCAGAGGTCGGCCCGGTACGTGGGGGGTGCGGGTTGAAGGTTCGGGCACGGAGTAACAGACACAGAGGTGGTGTGTCGGCGCGGCGGGGTAGTTGCTGTGTCCTCCCGTTCCCGGGAGGGGAGGCGGGGGCTGCGAGGGGATCCTCGGGGATCCGCGGGAGGGGGCGGGGCAGGCACACTCGCGGGTGCCTAGCCCCCACGGCCGGGGCTGAGTTCCAGCGCAGCCAGCTCGTCCCGGTGCGGGGAAGGAGGTTAGGAAAGCGTGAGAATGTGTGCGCGCGCGCCCTCGGGGTCGCGGGCTCGCAGGCGAGGGGTGGGGGGGGAGCGGCGTCCCCGAGTGGAGGTGGGTGTGGAGTCTCGTCCCGGTGGCGGGGGTAACGTTGTGTGATGTGGGATTGGCTGGAGCGTTGCCTGGGGAGAGGACGGTGGAAGTCTGCACACCTGGGGTGGTGGCGGGGGGGGGGGGAGACCTCTGGAAACCCGAGTTTGTTTTTTATACTCTCGTTGGAAGTACTGAAGAACAATGTCATCTGTAGTTAGTTGGTGGGCCGGGGGTGGGAGCATAAACAGGGGGGAGTGGGGATGAGGAAGTGAGGAAAGAGGGAGGTACTATGGACGGGGTTGGGTTCCCCAGAAGAAACTGAGTTAGAATTAGTGTAGTCTAGTCAGATGATACCATACTGAGAGTCGTGTACATTCATTAAGAGTGTTGTAAAGAACTTGTATGTCGGAGGTAGAGTGACGCATGGGTACAGTGTTTGAGAGTATGTGATGGGTGTCTGGGGTGGTGTAAAGGGAGCGACTGATAAACATTTTAGGAAGGGGAAGATACATTGCAACCAAGTACATGCTAGTGAGAGCATACTGAATGGAAAGACACCAACAGCCAGGAAGGTTCCATGGAAGCAGAATAGGAGCTTGGACGTAGAGATAAAAGGTTCAAAATTTTGATGGCAGAGAAGAACAAGGTGGTTAGCGTCTTGAGATTAATTGGGGAGTTGCTGCTTTTTAGAAAAGGGGAAGACCTTCAAACGGATCCTTTTTGTCCTTCAGGAGCAGAACTAAGAAAGGCAGGCTTATGGGAAGATGTTTTTTTAAAAAATGGTTTCATACCTTGTAGAAGAGGGAATTGGTTGGGTAGAAGTCTGAAATGAGCGGAAAAAACACTTCTGTTTAGTGAAGTGAAAATATTGTGATTGGCTTCCTAAATGCATATTACAAGAGAAGGTAGGTAGTGATACCAGAAGGTGGCTGTTGTACTTAGGAAAGTAGTAGTAGTTTCTTTAAGCAGAAAGTGGAGAGAATGATGAGCTCTTTGAACTGCAGTTGAATGCCTGGGTTTAACAGAGACGGGGTCCGCACATGTGTGCCTAGGGGCTGACTCTAGGACAGTTGTTAGGGTACTTGTATATTATAGTCCTTTTTCTCCACTATTATCCTTTCATTGTTCAACATATCAGATACACTTAATATAACTGTGGGAAAGATCTATGGTAGATGTTGTAGAGAGGGATGTGGAAACCCATCAGGACAGTACTCAATTTTAAGGAATTTGCAGTCTAGTGTATAGACAAGTAAATTAATAGTATCATGGCGTAAAATATGGCAAGTATCATAAAAGATGCCAAGTGTCATTAAGAGTTCAAAGGCAGGAGATTACTTAAGCAATTGGGGGGGAACCAGGAAAAGCTTCCTTTGTTCATTTGCCCATTCATTCACTCATGAATCATCAGTCATTTTGTTGATCACCTATATGGGAGGTATTGTACCAACTGCTGAGAACAGAAAAGAGCTCCACCCTCTTCTTACAGAGTTTACAGTTTGTTTGGTTTCAAGGAGAAAATGGCACTTAAAATGGACCTTAAGGATAAGCAGTATTCTGACAGATGTGGACTGAGAACAGGGACTCCAGATGGAAGGAAACTGAGCCAGGATGTGCAGATAAGGGGGCCTGGGGGCTGGGGAAGGTGTTCAGTCCAGTTAAACAAGAATATAGGGTGATGCAGCTGAAATAACTTTTAATAGACTTTTTTTTATAGATCAAGTTGATCCGTTCCTTTCACAGATGAAGAAAATATAGATAGCATAACGAAGTTAAAATTGTTGAGGGCCATAGAGCTGGAAAGTGGAAGCTCTCACACGTAGGGCTTCTGACTCTGTCAGCCATACTGTGTGACATGTCTGAGTTCATCCATTCTTTCCACAAATATGTGTTGAGAGCTTACTATATGCCAGTTACTCTTCCAGGCACTGAGGATACAATGGTGAATGAAAGAGTAAACATAGTGAGGTATATATTCTGATAGAATTAGGCAATCAGTAAACATTTGAAGAGATAATTATGTCAGGTGGTGACAACTAGAAGGAAAAAGCAAGTCATGGATATCTTCTTTTATATAGACAGGGTGACCAAGGAAAGCCTATTTAATAAGGTGCCCATATTTGAGAGGGTCTTGAGTCATGATCTGTAGTTTATAGTTAAAGTGGATGGACAATGGAGAGTCTGAGAAGATTAGTTTAGAAGAGCATTCACATGCTCATAGATAGTATTAGGAAGATGACTCTGTGTAGTGTAATAATGGACAGTTAGGACCAGAGATAAGGTGGTAGAGTAGAAAGATATGAAAAGTAGACTGGGAGAGAGGTGATAATTTTAATAGGAAGATCATTTGGTTTTGGGTGACTTCCATGTTAATGTGTTTTATATTTTGTAAATTAGCATGGTAGGGAAGACTTATCCTTAGGTTGTGGAATCAGTGGTAGACAACTTGAGGTGAGTTTAGTTCTTTGAAGAAGGGAGAAAAGAATAAGAACACTATGTTTAAATATATTTTCTCACTATAGTTGAATAAGCAGAACTGAACAGGCGTAGGACTTGGAGTCTCTTAAGGATTCCTGGGAGCCAGTCTTTTCTTTTTCAAGTAAAGCAAATCTTAGGGCTGACAGTAGTCGGGGACTCAGGGGAAGGAGTAATAAAGACTTGCACCAGCCCGAATTTCCCTCTCTCTCTTCTTTGGATCATTCCACTTAAAGTCTGCTGTGAGGAGGCTAGAGACTGTCTTCAGGGAAACATCATGTTCACTATCTTTTCTTTGTTGGAAACCAAACCTTTGGTTTTTAGACAACTTGGGGAGGATGCTAGATATTGTTGAACAAGTGTGGTTGGGGGGTTTAATAATTATTCTTTGTGACCCTTGACTTTAGGGAGAATTTTGTTGCCTACCTTTCTTGGTGGTGTAAGACCATGACTGGGCAGTTTTTAAACTGCATAGCTACAGATCTTTCCTCATGGAGATGAAAATTAGCTTTGTGTCAGCTAGATTCATTTGTTGGAGTAAAGAGATGGGGTGTCTGGCTTTGAAGTGGCACCTTGTTGATGGCAAACCAGGGAGAAAGATGGCAGTTTCAGAAGAGTGAGATGGGAGGATATGAGGTAAGAAGCATCAGTAAGATGAAGACAGAGAAATCAGAATCAAGGGGACTGAATTAGTCCTGAGTTGCAGAAATAGAGCAGAGATGATAGGAAAGAAAGCCCATCTTCTGTTTGGGAAAGAAGGTGATGCTAGAACAAGATAGGATGAGGAATTTATTTTTGTTGTTGGAAGATAAATCTTTTTTTTTAAGCAGTGTCTTTTTTTAAACAGCAGATTGACAAGGCTCCTAAGTGAATAAGTTGAGAGTACTTTCCTACATTTTATAAAAATAAGAACTGGTCTTAAATATGAGGGTTCTACAAAGAATATCATTGGAAATTTATTTCTCAAAGAAAAATTGATTTATGGATAAATAGAAAGATCTTAAAGACTTCGACACCTCTGTTGCGTGAAAGTAAATGGAATATTGAATATTGTTCATTTAAAAAGGGTGGGAGAAGGGTAAAGGTAACCCATGGACAAGATAGTGGGTGATATAGATTATGCTTTAAAAGAGTAGCAATTTAAAGGATAGAAATACAGTGGTTAGCGTTT